CAACAAGAAAATCGATCAAAGAAAGAAACAAAAAAAATATACAAGAACCAGCAGAAGGAAACACAACAATAATTGTATGAGAAAATCAATGACTATCAACGGAGATCGACGATCATTTTATTATGAAATCAATGGATGCATAGACAATGAGGAAACTATAGGATGATACAGATTGTGGGACAATTGCTAACTCTAGAAATAGTGTTGCTTTGTAGGATTTATTTTCAACAAATAAGGAAACATAACACCAGCTCGAAAAACTTCAATGGGAATACTAACTGTGATTCTAGGAATGACGATAGCTGATGATCCACTCGATTCAACATGAGGAATCAAATTAAGTCGACATAATTTGGAGAACACATCCATTACTTTATAGGGATCTTCATATAGGCATGTTTGCATCAAAATAAATTAATTGAAAATAAGAAAAGTACTAAAATGAAATCACTTTAAGTATCATTAAAACTCAAATAGTTGAGTTGCTTCATTCTGTCTGGCTCAAAAAAATTCACCTCGAATGAATAATGTATTTAACAGTTGTCTAACATGATTGATGTGCTTTTTTATAGTAATCAACATCGAAAGTCTATCATTCCAAGTTATGATGATTTTGATTGTTATCATTATTGGTGGTCATAATTACTGCATATGGGATAGTTTTGGAATAAGAAGAATAAATTTGCCTTGTAAAGTATTGAGTATGGTTATTGTGAGGAAACGAAAATAGAGAAAAATTCATGGCATTAGTACCATCTTCATGAAATAAAATCATATCATATACATTGAAGATTATACTAATAACATTTCTTCCTTAGGTTTTCAGGTTTAAAGCATTCATCCTAATACGTTGTAAGACTTTATATAACATCATCTTTCTTACCATTAATTTATTAAAGGTCACTGTTTAAAATTTGTAAGTACTTGGATATACCATTTCCTTACCACTTATTTTGAATTCATTATTTTTTATTCACATTGGCAATTAACTAATAATATATATAAATAATGATTATTTTCTTTTTGCAACCATCTTGATGCAAATTATGCATAGTTTACAAATCATATAAATGATATGAAACAACTAATGAAAATACTAAAATGGCAGTATTATTTAAAATGGAGATCAATAATGATTCATAACTAATTCTTAGATCAGAAGATCATGAAGCAGATTTAATGCAAACAAATCATAGAACTTTAGGACTTGGACATACCATTGCTTTACCGTTTATTTTGAATTTGTTATTTTTTGATTCACATCGACAATAAACTTATAATATCTTCAAGTAATGATTTTTTTTGCAAACATCATTATGAAAATTATGCATATTATACAAATCATATAAATGATATGAAACAACTAATGAAAATACTAAAATTCCAGTATGATTTATAATGATGATCAATAATGATTTATAACTAATTCTTAGATCACAAGATGATGAAAAAAAAAATAATAATAAAAAAAAGAAAAAAAAAAGATGATGATGAAAATTGAATGCAAACAAATCACACAAGTATGATATATGGACAATCATTTTTATAAAAACAATTAACTCAAATGACTTAAGTATTAGTTGAGATGAGTTTTGCTCTTTTAGATTTGAACTGAGAGAGAGTTTTAAACTTCGACATTTATAGATTCTCCAAATTATGTACACAATTTTATTTTTTTCCGGAAGTTCTTTCCAAGAATTTGTTTATCCGGAAATTATTAACCTTGGAAAAAATGATTTCAATTTGATTTGTAAATATGATTACATTAGAATTTCATCAACGGTTAGATCATCATATTATTTCAATTGATTTAATAACCTTAGTAGGCAAAATTTGTTCTCTATAGCATCAAGGAATCAATTTATTAGTTTTATCAAACAGTTTGCCAACTATAATAGCCATGATTTATTTAACTTCAGTTTAAAAAATAGATTCAATGACTTTAAGAAGCTCAAGTTCTTATTCATTAGTTTTTATTAGATGTTTAGGCTCACACTCAAGATTAGATTGAAGTTCTGATTGCAATTTAGGTTCATGCATGACTATATGTTCAACTTCAATCTCAAATTCTATTTTCTATTGAGGTTTAGGCTTTATTTGAGATAGCTTTCGTACTGCTTTTTAAAACGGCTTTATAGTAAAAAATTTAAAATTCAAGAAATTTTTATACTAAAAAGCTATTCTAGAAAGCAAGAAGAAAGCCGTCCCAAATGAAGCCTTAGATTCTCACTCTCAGCTTCAAATTTTTGCTAAGTATATGTTCATATTCATTAAAAAATTATGACATGGGTGCTAAGTATATGTTCATATTCATTAAAAAATTATGACATGGGTGCATTTTCAGATTTTCTAAAACCAAAATAATCAAATAGTAACTCTAAATTTTCATGTAATTTATCTGGAAAAGGATATTAATGAGTTTCGATTTTATTGATAATATTAGATTCAATTACGCATAATTCTAATGTTTGTATATGTTTGTCTTGCTTTGGAGAGGAAGGTTGTAGTTTCTCTTTAGGAACTTTAATAACATCATGTTTATAATATGTCTCAATGTTAAAAAAATCTAGATAAAGTCTTAGATTGTGTTTCTGATGAATTGTAGCATAGTTTGTTCATAGTTTCTTGCCCAAGACCTCAAATGAAATAGATACAACAACAACATCAAGCCTTTATCCCACTACGTGGGGTCGGCTACATGAATCCTTTTTCTCCATTGTGTCCTATTTTTAAGCAACAAAATAAACATATATAATATTCATGCCTATTTGATTCACCTTGTTTACAATGCTTAAATGTTCTTGTAGTTGATCATTGTATTATAGTTTTTGTTTCACTTTTAACGCCAAATAATTGAACATATACCATGAGTTTTTATTTTGGTTATTCAATCTTTCATAATCAAATTGATGGTAATGTTTAAATTAGTTTGAAGTACCAATCCATTTTGAAAATTCCTTAAGATGATGCCTCCCATTGAATGTACGAATGTAATATTGATCATCATGATAATAACAATCTGTTAGCTTAGAACTATGATTTACCCGATCCCATTTAAATTGGTATCATTTGTTAATTTTATGTGACCCAATTATTATGTTATACTTCTAATTAACATGATAATGCAACCATTAAATTTGTTATTAATTTGATGTAGGGTGTCTTAGGGTCTAGGTTTCATTATATGAACGTAGAATGCTATGCATTAAGAAACCCACAAAAATATCAAAATTGTAGTTTGTAACTTTTAATTCAAGCAAAGATTAAGTCTCTCTTGATGAAAAACTAACAAAAACACTTGATAGTCAATTCATTCCAAACGATAGCATAATAATCACCAAAATCTGAAATGATACACTCAACCTGAGAATGAATATTAAATTTCACAATGTTCAAGATTAAAAAAAAAAATAAAAAAAAAGAAATGGTTATTAATATTTTACAAATTATGAAATCATGCATATAAACCAATCACAAACAGTTTACATAAAATAAAAAAAGATAGAAAATCACCAATTTGAAGATTCAGGCCTCATGCCAACACAAGGAGAAATATCCCTTGGAGACTAATACTTGCAAAACACTCATATGATTCACATTCAATAATACACGCAAGTCTTAAGAACAAAACAAATTTTTATTCAACCAGACTGAATTTTACATTTTTATAGACCCATGTATAATAAAAAATACCTAAACATAGTAATTTCTCATAATCCCTTAAAGTTTGATCAAAATATGCAAGTTTTAATTCAGCGTGAGCAAAAATAGTAGAACATGTTCCCAGCATCTGGAAAAAAGGTTTTTGAATAAAAGGCAACCCACATCAGTCAGTCATCTCGGGCACCTGGAAATAGGGAATGCAAATTCAGCAGCACTACGTGTTTCTAATTCAATGATGCTTGCTACAATACCTGATGTGGGATCTCTTGAGAAGTTAAGTTACGCTTTACCAGATACAAGAAGAAAGCAGTATCACAGTGCATATGAAAAATAGAGGATCCGAATACATCCTGCTACTGTGCATATACCAAAGCCATTGAATCCCAAGTCTTGCTACGATAGGAAAATTCCAATTCTTGCTACAATAACTATACGAAATTTGAGCAAAGAAGGAAACCAACAAAATTCAACATCCAATAGAAGGATACCTTGCAACAGCTGTATGAGAAAATAAGGAAATAAGCGGCTAACAACACAGATCAGAAGTCATCACAATACCAAATCAACCACAACAGATACAATGAAGAAACCGTAAAAGGAAACAACCAACTGCAGAACTGCAATCGACTCTAGTAAAAATGTTTGATCAGAGGATCAATACTCAAAAAATAAGGGAACATAGCATCAACAGTAAACTTCTATAGAAAACCAATAGCAATTCTAGTAGCCGTAATAACCAATGAACCAATGATTGAGTTAACTTGAATGAACATGGAGAAGAGAATCAAACCAACAAAGATTTTAAAGAACGCTACTCATTCCCTATATGGATCATCATCTTAGGCATGCTTGTACTAAATAAACCATATAAAATCAGAAAACTACTAAAATAAAATTGATGAGGTAACATCAGAACTCAAATTGCTGTTTTGCATATGAGTTGATCTGTAAGCATTCCTCAAGCAAGCTGATTACTTTCGACGTTCTACTTTGATTTGTCTGTGTTAAACAGGAAGCCGTTTATTTACTTCAACTTGACTGCATTCACATTACTATTGTTCATAAGAAAAGAGAAAATTTCATTTAGTTCTAGTTTAATATTCTTCATCATTGTCTGTCACTTTTCTCCTTTACGAATTTGTTTTTTAGCATATTACATAAAGTTTGGTTTCAGCAAGTTATATATATATATATATTCCTTCATGGAGACTTTCTTTCTTTAGTAGAAATTTTGTAATTAGAAGGGAGTATGTTGGCTGTTTACTATGATTTTAATAACTCGTGATTTTTGAGATATTGCAGTCCTTTAATCTTCTCAGGAAATCTCTGTTTTGCAGATAGGTCAAGGAACATACAGTAGTGTTTACAGGGCTCGTGACCTTGGTAATGGAAAAATAGTTGCTCTAAAGAAAGTTAGGTTTGATAGCCTGGAGCCTGAAAGTGTACGCTTCATGGCGCGGGAGATACACATTCTGCGAAGACTTGACCATCCCAATATAATAAAGCTAGAAGGTTTGGTAACATCACGCATGTCTTGCAGTCTCTACCTTGTTTTTGAGTACATGGAGCATGATCTTGCCGGGCTTGCTTCTTATCCTGGTATAAAATTCACAGAACCACAGGTAACTTGGCAATTTTGAAGAAAGCCTCTTTTCCCTTATTTTCTTCAATGATTCCTAATTTCACTTTATTTTATTACTGATGATGTACATATCGTCCTCTTTGACCTAATATAAACATGGATTTTGTTTGGGCAGGTCAAGTGTTATATGCATCAGTTATTGTGTGGTCTTGATCATTGTCATACCCATGGTGTTCTGCATCGAGACATAAAGGGTTCCAACCTTTTGATTGACAATAATGGCATTTTAAAAATAGCAGATTTTGGCCTGGCAAGTTTCTTTGATCCTGAACAACAACAACCATTAACAAGTCGTGTGGTCACTCTATGGTACAGGCCACCAGAGCTTTTACTTGGTGCTACTACCTATGATGTAGCTGTTGACTTATGGAGTACCGGTTGCATTCTTGCTGAGCTTTATGCAGGCAAACCTATAATGCCTGGAAGGACAGAGGTACTTCCCATTTCATTTCATGATGCATCAAATTACTGCATTCAAGCTTGTTATTAACTGAAATTGTCATTTAGAATCTTTCAAAGCACTTAATTATTATTCGCTTGAGCAATTATTTTTGAAAACTTATAGATATGATATATCAATTATGAATTTGGAATGTTGTATCCCAATAAAAATAGCTGGAAAACTCTATAATAGAAGGAGCATAGGGTATCTGAAAATACGATAAGAATAAATTTTCAGATAACAGTTAAACAAAAGATAAATAATAAATTAACAAAAATAAAGCCACTGCTGCATTTCTCAGAAAACAACTTAAATTTCTGAATTTTGCAGCGAATCTTTTGTTCACTTCCAATCTGTCTTACCTTGCAGCTTTGCAAAGAACATAGTTACCTGATTTGGCCTGACAATTTGGAAGTTTATTTGCCTGCAGATATTATAGAAGCAAGTTATGGTATTATGACACCAACCAGTGTCATTGCATACCATTGTTTAAAATTGTGCAATATGAGGCCCGCCTTAGCGCAATTCTAGTGAAAAATGCATCGAGGCTTACACCTAAAATTTATTTGTGCCTCAACTTGGCTGAGGCCCGCCTTGAGTCATGCAATGCCTCACCGATGTGAGGCTTACTCCTCACACTATTTATATATATTTTTATTTAAACTTACATAAATCCTAAACTAAATCTCTGAACAAATCACTTTATTGCATCCCCAAGCTGCAACAACTTCCTCTCGACTGCCTTGACATCCATTCCATTTTCTCCATAGTCACCATCGTCACAGCCGTCGGGGATAACTTGAAGCCCGCACACCACCACCACATTCTCTAAAATTTTAAGAGTATTAATCTTTTCTATGTTAATGCAAAATATTATGAAAAGGAAGATGATTGAAATATATGAAAAAAAAATCGGGAGGCATTTGAATATATAGGATGAGACAGGGGAGTGACCAATTTGTTATAATGACGACTCATAAAAACCCCCTCAGTGATGACAATGTAGATGATTTTTATGTTTTTGTCAACTATTTCAGTTTTCTTTATGAATTAAAAGTGGATGAGTATAGGGAACTTATAAAAAAAGAATTTAGAGTTGAACTTGATATTATATGATATTTTTATGATATTCTTATATTTAATATTATTTAGCTCTTGTAATATTTATATTTTCATTCTATTTCACATAATTTATCACTTATCACTTTACGTTTTATGCAATTTTTTATTTCATATATATGCCAATCTATTACTTCATAATTCAATAGAAAATTAACATATCATCCTTTAACATATTATTTGAGTATTATATAATTTTTTTTTAACATTTATTCTGAATTAACACAATTTTTTATTATTTTTTATTTTGAGTCTTACGCCTCAAAATGCCTTGAAGCTTACGCCTTGCCTCACGAACAAAAAATGTCTCAATACCCAATTGCACAATTTTAAACCTTGATGCATACTATGAAAACTTAAACTTTATGCTTCTGTTAAATCAGATGCTTAAGATTGATACTTCCATCACCCTTCTTGTATATACTCGCCCACATCTTTACTATTTGCAAAACTCCATATTAGCTTAAATACTTAAAGTTGCAATCATAAAATGAGGATAGTCCAATGTTATGAACATGCATGTCAATGGAACAAAATGCAGCGTGCCATGGCGCACGCCGCGGCTTTGCGCACATACGGCGCTATTTGCTTTGCATGGCATGGTGCATCAAAATAGCACGCGTTATTTGCGCATGGGCAATGGCACATGGAACAAGGTGCAAATAACACATGCAATTTTGTTAATATGTTATAAATTATAATTATTTTGTTTACTTTTATGTATTAATATCAGAATTAATAAAATATAAAAAAAAATAAAAAAAATTAAAACTATTATTTTTGCTATTTGGCATGATTTAGGCTAAATTTGCTCCTCAATATGTTTATGTAAGTTTTTTAGAATTTAAAGTTGTCATTTTTTTCTATTTGACGGAATATTTATGCTTAAATTTTGCTTAAATGCAACCTAATGTTTGTTTTTAATGGATATATATATATATATATATATATATATATATAGTGCTAATGTGTAAAATGGTGCTCACCATGCTGATGCGTTATGCATCGTGGTGCGCCATTTGCAATTGTCAATATAATTATGAAAAATGCTAGGCTCTCTGGAGGCGATATTGTTGCCCAATGCCTTAGGTGCAAGGTGCTACACTAAGCGTTGGCTACATGAAGCTTCTAAAGAAGTTGCTATATCATTTTAATAAGTTTTAATTAGGAGGAATACTTTTGAAGAGTGTGAAAAGATAATCATTATATCAGACCTGTTTTGCTAACTTTAATTTTCAATTTTCGATTGATTCTTAAGTGAAAATATTTTAAAATATATTAACCTAAACAAGTACAATTAAATTGATAAATTTGTGGCTAGTGCAGCTTAGGAAAATCTAATGTTTGCTACTGCATTTCATTTTCATCATCACTCACACTCTCTTCTCTAGCATTGAATTTTTAAGCATTTCTTATCTTTCCATTTTTCTTGGGTTAAGATGTAAAAAAATAATATTAGAGTCTAGTTATACTAATGCAGCATAGGATTGATGCATATTGAAAATATAAAAAATATAATATGCACCAACTTTTAGTATTAGAAAATTCATTTTTAATGTAAAAATAATAAACATGCTTTTTTCATATTTATAAATAAGTCGTAGTCAGTAACATTTGAAATTTCATAAGAAATCAGTGAACAAAATATAAAATTTCAGCAACTATCAGGTTCGCGCTTTGTTAAAAAAATTGTTTCATATCATATTTTTGCAAATTTCTATCACACATAAAATTGGTCCCCAAATAAATTAAAAGAATAATAAGGATTGAATCTCCTAAAAGAAGAATCAGGTGTCTGCCGCTGTAACAAGACTCGACTTTGGAAGTAGTTATCAAATAATTGCCAGCGCTTGGAGAATTTTACATCCAACACAAATAAGAACCGTAGTAAAATTTAAAATTCATTTAAATGTTCAATATTAATGTAGAAGGTATAACACTATAATAAAAAGACTTGGTTAGAAAATATTAGAAGTGATTTTTCTTTATTATAATAATTGAGAATTTAACTTTTAACATGACACAATAGAGAAAATGGATTTATGTAGCCGATCCACATAGTAAGATAAAGGCTTGATGATGTTGTTATTTTAAATGATCAATATCAATGAATTTTATATGCCTCAGGGTTTTTCAATATAGCCTGATCCAAAAATAAGAAATTTCATATAATCTACAAGATCATTTAAGTTAACATTTTAAGTTCATTCTCATGAATTTAAAAAACAAAAAATCTCTTAGAAAATGTCCAATTTTTGGATTTTTAGTTAATGAAAAAGTATTATAATTGTGGTTACATCGCAATAATCGAGCCAAATAAGGAAAACAGAGGAAATCACATAACTATATTGAGGTAAGTGTTAAAGAAGGAAAAAACCAAAAACAATGATCATCTATTAGAGTTCAATTACTGAAGAGCTATGTAAGAGATGTTATCAACTAATTTTAAGCTATAATACTGATACAATCAAGATTGATCATTATACATATTATATCATATATATATATATATATATATATATATATATATATATATATATATATAATATATATATATATATTGTTTCTTGTGTTTTGGATACTATATAATTTTATTTTGTATAGCTCTATAATGAAAACCGACTCATGATCATGTCGGATTTGGTGATCTGAGCTCAATACACTCTATTGCCTTTCACTTGTGTTTTCTTGCTCCTTTTCTCCTATGGCTGTTCAGTTTTCCCTATTATCTATTAGGATTCCCTGCTAGCGTTTGGATTTCCTATTAGTTTTGTTGGTTTCCTGCTGGTTCTTTGTTGTCCCTGTTGTCTTCTCGGTTTCTGTATGGGCTGCTCAATTTCTCTGCTGTTGATTCCTATGCAGGAAGTTTTAAATGTGGGTTGAATTTTGGTGGCAATTATGTGATCTATTAAATGCTATTATCCCTTCTTTTTTCTATAAATTGGGGTTGAATTCCTTTGTGTAGAGTTTTTGGAATGTGATTAATTAAAAAACCTGAGGGTTTTTAGCTTGCGAGCTGGTCTTCCCTATCCCCTATTACTTCATCTCGATCTTTTTTCTCTTCTTATTCTCTCAACGGTTTCCCAGCCTTCAGTATCTTTCTTCTCTAAACTATTATTAATTAATCATTTTAAACATGAGGGTTTCTGAATTGAGGGTACAAATTTTAAAAGTAAGTCATTTATTCAGCAAATTACTAAGAATGACCTTCATCCTATGAAACCCCAGGAAGATCTGCCATTAAAAATAACGCATTCACAACCTCAGGGAAGCATTGTCATTCTACTAGATGAACCAGACCAATTAATTTAACTTTTCCCTACTATTCTTGGTTTTCCCTATGGGCTACTCGGTTTTCCTGCTGCTGGCTGCTCCGTTTTCTCTTTGTTGATTCCTATGCATGAAGTTTTAATATGGGCTGAATTTGGTCGCACATTTTTGTGATCTATTAAATGCTATTCCCCCTTCTTTCTCCTATAAATTGGGACTGAATTCCTTTTGTGCAAAAGAGAGTTTTGGAATGTGATCAATTAAAAAACCTGAGGGTTTTTAGCTTACGAGCTGGTCTTCTCCCTATCCCCTATTACTTTATCTTAGTCTTCTTTCTACTTCTTCTCTCCACGGTTTCCCTTCCACCTGTATCTTTCTTCTCTAAACTATTTTGAGTTAATTTTACATTTTTGTCACAATTCATGGGAATAGCTTGGCTTGGAAATTTGTGTCTCTAACAAATTGAGCATTTAATATGAATCACAAATAAACCTTTAATATTTAGCATAAGCAATGAACACAATGCCTACATTTGGCATAGCTTTTGGAACTAGATGACTGTATATGTGCCTAGTAAGGTATTGGGTTTGAGTTCAGTTGGA